AAAAACACTGCTATTCTAGTAATGAGCAAGCATTACATTCACTTTAAATCTGTACAATGAGTAATATGTAATCACATGACTGTCTTCAACTCAAAAATTTCCTCCAATAGCTTAGCTAACAATTTATATTCCTCAAAATTATTTTCTTGTTGCCTTTTGGTGCTTGTTTGTTCCTGTTTTAATATTGTATACTTTTTGTTCATTTTTAATAGTTTTATGTTGCCAATGTACTTTCTTAAGTAATTATGTAAAGATTTACTTTTAATCTTTGCCTCTTCTTCCAAGTTATCTCTCTTCTCTAGAGACAGTTTTCTTATTCTCCTTTGTCTTTGTCTACTATTAAATTTCTACATTTTCCCAGATTTTCTTATAGGGTACACAGACCCTCAAATATTCTATCAAGATATTCTATGAACTTGTTATATAATTGCAAAATAGGTTTCTTTACTTTTAGAATTTCATTTAAAGGAAACTTATTTGCACAATAATCCTAAATACTTTATATTATACATTTAAATATTACTCTATGTTTACTTACATTTTAAATTTCATTTTCCATTCTAACCACAGTTTTCCCTCCCAACCCTCCTCTAGACCCCCTCATCTCCCCCTCCCATCCCCAGTCCACTTCTCCCCATGGGTAAGGGCTCCCTTGAAGAGTCAGCAAAATCTGGTACAATAGGTTTGGGCAGGGCCAAGCCTCCCTTTCATGGATTACTGCTGAGCATGGCTTCCCTCTATAGGGAATGGGCTCTAACAAGCTAGTTCACGTAGCAGGTTTGTATCATGGTCCTACTATCAGGGGCACCTCTGATAGGCTAAGCTTTATGACTGTCTCCCACATTTGGAGGGCCTAGTTTGGTCCCCTGGAGTCTCTGACACTCTCACACTAGTTCATGGGTTTCCACAAGTTTGGTTTGGCTGTCTGTGTAGATTTCTCTATCATGATCTTGACCTCCCTTGTTCATATATTCCCTTCTCCCTCTCTTCAACTGGATTCCCAGAGCTCAGCCAGGTGCTTGGTTGTGGATCTCTGTGTGTGGTTCCATAAATTATTGAATGAAGGTTCTATGATGATAGTTGGGGTATTTATTGATCTGATTACAGGGGTAGAACAGTTACAGCATCCTCTCTACTATTGATAGGAGTCTTAGCTGGGGTCATCCTTGTAGATTCTTGGGAATTACCAGGTTTCTTCCTAATCCCATAGCGGGGCTCTCTCTATCAAGGTATATCTTTCATTGTACTTCCACTGCATCCCTTCCCCGCCCTGGACCATCACATTCCCCCTTTCCCTCTCCCTTATCACCCACAGTGTCTCCAGTTTACCCAGTAGATATCATCTCATTTCTCTTCCCAGGGCAATCAGTGTGTCCCTCTTATGGTCCTCCTTGTTACCTAGCTTCTCTGGAAGTTTGGATTGTAGTCTGGCTACATTTTGCTTCGTATCAAATATCCATTTATGAGTGAATACATACTATGTTTGTCTTTCTGAGTCTGGGTTACCTCACTTAGGATGTTTTGTTTTTGTTTGTTTTTTGTTTTTATTTTTTTCTAGTTTCATCCATTTGACTGCAAACATCGTGAGGTCATAAGTTTTTCACAGCTGAGTAGTACTCTGCTGTTGTATAACTGTATCACATTTTCCTTATCCATTCTTCAGTTAAAGAACATCTACTCTAAATATTAGGTTTTTATTCCATAAAACTTGTGATTTGAGGCATTTGTGGGGACATAAAGCAGCTTAAATATACTCTTGGGACTGTCAGATATTTAAAAAAACATGTCCTTGAATACATTCAGGTTTGTTGCTTAAAAATTTGATAACTATACTGCCAGCAAGAGAGATAGTCTTCCACAGAGAAGAGCACACCAAATTCATTACCAAATGGTCAGCCATGAAAACATAAATAAAAGTAACCTATACAAACTTAGCTGGTTGGCTCAGCATATATAAAATTATAGTATATGTGATATATATATATATATATATATATAATACATATATGTATACTGTGTTTAAAACAGTTAATAAAAAACGAGGCAATGAATTTGAGAGAGAGAGAGAGAGAGAGAGAAAAATCTATATGAGAAGGTTTTGAGGGAGAAAAGGAAAAGAATGAATTATGTAATTATATTACAGTCTCAAAGGATAATTTTTAAATTGATAATTTGAAATATGAATTATATGTTTAGGCTTACCATCTTGGAATATAACTGTTTTAGCTTCTGATTATTATCTTTTTGATAGCTAAAATTTCAGATAATTACAATTTTATTGTGTATTATGAATCTGCTCAATGCTAGGCATATACTTATATGTTTTTGAATGCTGGTTTTCATTATATGTTCATACCATACGGAAAGACAACTAGTCTGGTTATCAAGAAATGTTGATACAAGTGAACATAATTATTCCTCTTAGGCCACTAACTGCTCTTATTCTATTTCATTTTGAAATTAGTTTTCATTGTTATCAAAGGAAAAATTACATATGTTAAATCTTCTTTATAGGATTGAAGGTGATTAGACCAGATGACATAAATAATTTCCACACATTTTATAATTGTATAATTAAGAATTGTATGCAATTCAATCTTCTTTTTAAAAGTAAAAAGGAATTTACAGTGCAAGCATAGGTATGCAGAATTACCAGAAAAATTTGGAAGCTGTTCATTTAGTTAAGAAAATTACAATATCTTACAGTTCACTGAAAATAATAAAAACTTAGTCTCTATTATAAACTTGTCAGAAAATATTCATGTTATATAAAAGGCAGTACAAATAAGTATCTTAGTTATTTTAATACAGTCCAATCTAATTTCATATACACAAACATTTAAACCTATTTTAATAAACTAAAAGTGTAACTTGAAATGTGACTCAATTTAGCTTATTAATTACTAAAACATATAGAAATAATTTGGTTAAAATGTCAAAAATTATATCTACTCTACTAATAATTTTGATACATTAGTATAATTAGCAGTACAGTTATTTTAAGCTATAGATTTATTTTTTATTATAATTGTAATGAATCTCTTATTTACTTTAAATTTCTTGGTTCAAGACAGTAGGAAGTAATGGTGATTATATACAAATCAATGTATATGAGAGAAAAAGTTACCAGTTGAGGAGCTAAAAGTACTAGTGTAGCTAACAAAAAGTGGAAGGATGAATCAAGGGAGATGTGTTAAATATAAGTTAGATATCTACTTTCTCTCCTAAGATTAAAACATAATCAAATATCAAGCAAAGCAAAGTGGTCAAAAGAATCAAATCATTAGACTTTGAAAACAACTGCTGAAACTGTAATAGAAACTGCTAGTGTTGACTGATTTATAGTGAGGCAACTGGCCATAGGTATGTGTCAGGACTTTAGGTTTTACCAATTGGTATTTTTATTATTCTTCTTATTATTAAAAATTATGTCAAGCATGACGACTCAAGTATATGATCCCAGCACTCAGGAGGTGAAGGTATATGATCTTGAATTTAAGACCAGCCTGGGCTTCAGAGTGAGAAATTATCATAGTAAAAAGGAAAACTATTCAGAATGGTGTATTTATAATATATGTATGTACGTATGCATGTATATATATATATATATATATGTAAAAATAATAATCATAAAGGACCATCAGTTGGAGACATGGAAGGGGATGCAGTGAGGAGATGAGGGAGGGCTGGGAGAATAGGGAAGTCAGAAAGTGATATAATTATATTTTAATTCAATTTTTAAAAATTAAAGAAAAAAACTACAGATATACATGTTGACCTGGAAATTTTTTTCCAGGAAAACTGTAAAAGAAAATTTGATACAAGAAATCTCAGAAATTAAAAACAAAATAGAATAAATTGGAAAATTACAAAATTGCCTACTACAAATGGTGCTGGCACAAAAAGTGTTAGGAAACTTATTTTCTCATACTTCAGCTGATCATTTTAATTCCATGTAAGTTTTTTGCACTACTGTATCTTATTGTCAAAATAATAGTAAGTTTTGAATAAAAATATAAAATTATGAAATACATAATAATTTGAACCAACTATTCATTAAAAAACACATAACAGATGAAACTAAGATTTATTCTAGAAATGCAAGAATTTAATAGAATGAATGATGATTGAATCATTTAAAATTGTTTTTAAAATTCTTATGTATGTATAACATGATTCTTGATCATATCAATCCCCTATTACTTCTTCCTGATCTCCCTATTACCTATCCAACATGTCTCCCTTAACTCTTTCTAGTTAACACATTCCCAAACTCCCCAACGTATTCTCACCTCCCTCCCAAGCTAATGGTGTTATCCATTTATTTATTTATTTATTTATTTATTTATTATTGTTGTTGTTGTTGTTGTTGCTTTACAACCAACTAAATAAATTTAGTGATTCCCACATGTGCACATATGTAGGATCATACACTGGTTCTTGTGCTATCTACCAATGGCTACCCTACCTTCTCACACACAATGTAAAGTGCCACACCATTCTTTAGCAGTTATTAACTTTCATTAGCACCTTAGCTTAGATTATGGCATCAAGAGCCCCTCCTTCCTCCATTCTGGAATATTAAATTCATTTGCTCTTCTGTAGGTCTTATATAATAACAGCAGCTGCTTTGAGTTCACATGTACAATGGCTATATCATGTCTAGAGGTCAGCTTTTCACAGCAGTCCTGCTCATTTTGTGACTCTGAGATTCTAATTAATCTCTCCTATAATAAAATGATTAGCAATTTCTAATTATAGTAAAAAATTTTGTACTTTCTTACAATGTAATTAATTCCTCTTCTGTAACAAAATGACTAGCAATTCTTGATTATAGTAAAATATTTTGTACTTTTAAAGTTTTTAAGTATTTGTATGTTACATGAATATGTTTAAATGATGTTTGAGTGTTATTATTGTCTGATCAAATGAATATAGAAAGTTATTACGAGTATTTAACCTGATGGATTAGTTAACTTGCATATCCATTCTTTTTATAGGATTTTATAAATTGCTTCATGAAGGCAAAGGCCCAAAACTGGATCGATTGTAAGTTTCTATTCATTGGCTTTGTTCCCTTCTATTCCTGTAAATGCATTTCTCAAACTACTGCTTATATTAAGGATCTGAAGCATAATGCCAGCCCTAAATTCTAAAGATGTTATAGAACATATTTGTTATAGTTCTTTTTAACAAGTAATAGCATGAGTATATAGTTTTATTAAGATATCCATGCCATATGAAAATATCCTGATAGCAATGGTTAATCTAAAGAAATAGAAACACATGGACTCTAAGGATTGTATCTGACTCAAACTTTAAATGCCTGTATATATTTTTCTTTTGTCAGTCATTCTTCAAACTACCCCAGTTTCATAATGGATAATTTTCCTGGGAGTAATTAAAGTTAAACATTCCAAAATGATTATTTTTTATTTATATACATAGATATATACATACATACTGTGTGTGTGTGTGTGTGTGTGTAAATGCATCAAACTTGTACTTTTTCTCTAACAGAAAATTAATTAAATAAAGGAACATTTTGTTTTGTTTTCTCTTTGTTAAAGAGGGATGTCTTTTTCAGACAGATAGGTTTATTGAATTTTGTGGTGGGTTGCTTGTTAGAAGAAGACTGCCTTATGATTACTCCAAATTTTTAGACAAAATGTTGCTGACATAATTTTTACTCAATCACCCCTTAGTACACACATTTAGTTTAACAATATTTTTAGCAAACTATAGAATATCCATCCTTAATACTGGATCTAGTAAAAGACTTTAAAGTAAATGTATCTTTAAAAAAAGCAAAGCAAAAATTATGGGAAAATATAACAAACAGGTATAATTGAAGACTGAGGTTCTTGATCAAAAAAGATCTGTCACAAACTAGCAATAATATTACAAATAACACTTGAATTTTGTTGCTCTTAATTCTCACTCAGTGAAACAAAAGATTAAGATATATGATCTATAACTCATTTGGAGCTTTGAAAATATTTGGGTCCAGGGTATTGAAGAAAAATTTATCTTCATCACCTTCCACAATAGAAGTGTAAAGTAGAGACGACAATTTGAAGTATCAATATTGAAAAATCTTAATCTTCATCTTTCCCACATATTTATACCTGTATGAACTAACACAAATACTAAACTACTGTGCAAGCAATACCATGGCTTTATAATTCTGTTGAACTGTTCTCTTCAGTAATATGCTACTAAGAAATAGCTGACCATAAGAAAAATGTGCAACTTCCTATAGCTTTGTGAAGAGATATATAGGATTTCTACATAAACTATTCTCAGTAAAGTAACCTAATATGAGCAGCTATTCAACTTAAACCTGCTGAAAATTTTGCTTATATTAGTAGGACTCTGAGGGAACAGTAAATTGGTAATTAGAGTGATTGTTACATGCTGGACTCCAGGGTGATTAATTTTTAGAAATGCAGCTATAAACTTACAGTGACATATACGACAGTTATAATTAATATGAGCATTTTTTAAAAGTATAATAGTAGGAGTAGGTTTGTCTTGACATTTTACAAAGCAAGGGTTGAAAGCTCAATAAATCTAAGTAATCTAAGGCCAAACTTCCATGTTCATTATACTGACATACTTTAAAAGTATTTTAAAAGTGCTGAATTCTTTTCTAGGTGACATTCATCATCTCATTTACACTTATATATAAAGGCTTGATTTATATCAGTTATCATTTACACTTATATAAAGGCTTGATTTATATCAATTAATGTACTTTAATTAAAACTAGTTTATTTACATTTTAGGTCTGCCCTTGCAGACTTAGGCTATTTGCTAACAAGTAGAATAAGAGGAATTGAGCTTCTGAGGTTAAACCTGTTATATCATCCATTGCATAATAACAATAAAATATTAACAAGTAGATGGAATTTTGATCTAATATAGCAACACAACCAATAAAATACAAAAGACCAAAGAAAAGGAAATACATTAATATATATGAGAAACATAGAAATTTTTCAGAGTAGTCTTGATAAATTGTGAGTTACAAGACTAAGTTTAAGACTGTAGTAAATATTATGTGTTTTAAATTCACCTTAAATTTTTCAACCAGAATTTTAACAGGATGTGATTTAAAGGTAACCCTTGTTCTGAAAATTCATTTAGGCAAAGTAATGTGAGAAAAAACAGAAAAATTGTAATATTAAATGGAAATACATATACCTTAATGAATCATAAAAATATTTTGAGTGTATGATATTATCCAGAAAAGATAAAATATTTTCATATTTTACTGAAAGAAGTTAGAAATACAGAAATAGACTAAATATACAAAATAATTTAGAATATAATGATGATAATAGTTGAAATCAATAAAGAAAAGAGCACTCAATAAATGATTTGGAGCAACAATCAGAAGATTTGGAAATAGAAATATCCCCAGATCTCTATTCTATATGATACACAGAAAGCAAGATGTCTTAGTGATTTGAGTGTACAATGAGTAAAACTAACAACAAAAGGAGGAAACATATACTTTTTCTATCTATGGCTTCATAATGGAAAATTGTATACATACACAGTGCCATATTCAAATGTAAAAGGCAGATGAACTGGGGGAAAGATTTTGAATATATATGAGAGACAGAACGTTAATATCATTAATGTATCAATGAACTTAAAAATTAATGGAACAATGGGAAGAAAAGCAAAAGAAATGCTTAAATGACTTTTGACAAAATAATAAATACGATAACTATAAGTAACAAAAAAGAAAAAATATTGCTATTTGTAGTGAGAACAACTTTCTAATGTTGATAAGTTGTTAGATTATTGTAAACCTGTGAAAATGTTATGATAATTTAAAGTCTACATTGCTTGATGTCCAAGCTAACATTTTATTCCTGTTTGATTTTTGCAGTGTCTTGGTTTAGAAGGCTCTTGCCCACATTTTTCTCTGAGGAAAATCGTCGTTCTTTGTCTAAAACTCGATTCTGTGCAATAGCCTGTACTAACCTGGGCCATGGAAATTGTGAGGGATGGCTTTGGCATAAAAGAGAGTCTAGAGGAATCTCCCTTTTCAGTTGGAAAAAATACTGGTTTATTCTGAAACACTCAACTCTCTACTGGTTCTCACATCTGAATGTAAGTGCACTAGGAAGCAAAGAAAATCCATTGCTGAAAATAGTACTTTTTGTTGGTAGTAAGGGTATACACTTCTGGCAAATGAAAAGATGCTCATAACATCAAATGTCAGGAACAAGCTATTGATACTACTTATTGCTTTTTTAAAAACTGTCTAAGTTGTCCAATGTGTCTAGTAAAGGTATTTTAATTAATGGCTTAATGGTTTTGAAACCAAAAATACCTGGTTTTACTTCAAGTCCTTTCACTTACTAACTTAAGAAGCCAAGCAAGTTGTGTATCTTTTTTAAAGCCTGTTTTCTTTTAAATGAGTCATAATACTTGCCAAAATTTTCATCTTTCTCTTTTGTATTGATCTCTTCCCTCTCAACTAGATTAATCTCACAAACAGTTTTAAAAGTGCTAGAATCCTTTCATTTAGATAAAAGTGAAATAAATGAGTTGCCTCTTACTGGTTATAAAGCCAACAAATACCATTTTAGAGGATGGAATTGGCAAGGTCATGAGTTTTGTTTTGGATGTAGTGAGTAAAGACACTCTGAAAGTTATCCCACTGGGGTGAGGAGTCTAGAGCTTTGATTAAAGCTTCAGCATTTGCATTAAAACCCTGTCATGTACAACCAATCTTCTTGGTACTATTCTTTATGCTTTCTGTTTTCATTAACTGCTTTCAAGTGTTTTCTAATATCTCTTCCCCTACTCTGTTGGAATAATTTTCAGGAGATAATCATGAAACTTTTATGTTTCTAGTTCCAAAAGCCACTTTCAGACTTCATTTTACTTGACCTTTCCTCATTTTCTTCATGTCACTCCTCAACACCTTTTATTTCAAAATTGTCATATTTCCTAAGACACGTAAGTTTCAGTTTTCAGGAATCAGCTGTAGCTTTCCTTATTGTTATACACATTTTTCAAAAGTTATTTTCCAGTTGATACAGAAGTGACATATAATTGTTTCTTTTTTTAGGGTTATAATCCCATGTATTACTCTTTATTACACAAGTTGTTGCACAGTTGATCATTGTAGACTTTTATAGTTTCTATATACCTATGACATTTCTCTGTCAGTAATTGTCGGTTTGTTCTGTTTTTTTATATTGTTGTTTTTGCTAATTTAATACTATATATTTTGATCATATTCTTTCCCCTCCACCACCTCCTCCTGAATTTTCCTCATCCTCTTTTGCCACCCAAATTCATATTATTATTCTGTCTTGAAAAGAAGGCATGGAATATGGTTTGTTAGTGAACCCTTCCTGAGCATGAAGGATGCCCTAGAGTGCAGTTGATATACCTATTGTCACTCCATTGAGAAACTGACTTTTTTCCCTCTCCTAGCAGCAAATAGCTTTTTGGTTAAGAGTGAGACTTTGTGCATACTTCTCCATCTATATGCTGAGACCTTTTCTGGCTTGGAATTGTGCAGATTTTGTTGATGCTACCAGAGTCTCTATGAGGTCATTATGTTTTTCAGCCCTACTGTGTTTGTAAAATCAACCACCTCTGGCTCTTAAAATCATTCCACCTCATCCTTTACTCTTTAATGGAGGGGTTTGATAATGACACCCCTTTTAGGGCTGAGTGCTCCAAAGTCTCTCATTCACTGAATGTTGTCTACTGTGGGTCTCGGTACTAACTGCAATCTATTACAGGAAGAAGCTTCTCTTAAGATTAAGGGATGCACTGATCTATGGGGATAGCAGTGTATCATTAGGAGTCATTTTTTTTTTTTTGCTGTGTTCATTTATGAGAATAATAATGATTTTTTCCCTAAAGATTCTTTACCTATCTTGTCTCAGATTCTTTTTTTCTTTTTTCTTTTTATTATTTTATATAACCAAGTCCATTTAAATGAAAACAAACATTTATAGACAATATTTGGGAATTTGGGCATTGTTCTTTCCAAACTACTTCCTGCTGGTAAGGGGCGCTGTCATATAATTATTTCTATACCCTAAATTTTTCTTCATATATTTGACACTTGTGAGTGCAATTATCTCTCCATCGGGCTATCTCAATATTTCTCCTATTCAGCATGTACAAAGAATAATTCATTATACTGCCCTCCTTAAAATGATCCTTTCCCGGTGGCTTTCTGATAAGGAGTTATCTTCAGAACCTACTTTTTTACTTCATACAGCATACCCATACCTAGTCTCACCAAAATTATCCCCTAAGTATCTATCAAATTCATCATTTTCCCTCCATTTCCACTGTCTAGTCCAAGCCATTGTTAGCTTTCAAACAATTTCAATAGCCTCCACTCTGTCTTGTTATATTCACTTTGGCCTCTCTCTAGTTTACCACTGTAATTAGGGGATCTTTTTAAATATAAATTTTGCCATATTCCTTCTACCTTATTTCACCCCATTTTCTTATTTGTCTCCTTATTGAAAACCATTACTAAAACTTTCCATTACTGTTATACGAAAATGTCCTTAACATGGACTATCAGGCCTTACATGAATCCTGTAACTCTTCTGTTATATCTTATACTATCCACCCTGTGGCTTTACATTCCAGCTACACTGACCACTTCTATTTTTTCTAATGTGCTTTTCTTTATCCATTTATAGACTCTTTACATGTCTCTTCATCCTTTGTGCAGCACTCCATGAACCCTGGTTGCTAATTTCATTAACAATTCAATCTTCCTTTAGCTCCTACTTCAGTGCATCACCCTTTTAAAATTTTTTTATTTTTTATTTTTTCTTATTTTACATATCAATCCCAGTATTTAAATTAAAAAGTATCTTATTTTACATTCCAAACTCAGTTTCCTCTCCCTCCTGTCCTCCCACTCCCCCTACCATCTCTCCATCCCACACCTCATCCACTCCTCAGAGAGGGTGAGGCCTCCCATGAGGGATCATCAAACTCTGTCACATAATTTGGAGTAGGGCCTAGGCCCTCCCCTATTTGTCTAGGCTGAGAGAATATCCCTCTATGTGGAATGGGCTCCCAAAGTTCATTTGTATACTAGGAGTAAATACTGGTTCCACTGCCAGAGGCCCCAAAGATTTCCCAGGACCCCAGCTGACACCCAAACTGACAGCTGGGGGACGTGCGTAAGCCTGAACTAGGCACCCTGAACATGAATATATCACCTCTTTAGGGAAGCCTTTCTTGATAATACTCTACCAATTAAACTCAGTAGCTCTCAGCACCATATAACTTTGATCACAGCATTTGACCACTTGTAATTCTTCTTTACTATTCTTATATTAAAACTGTCTCTTCCAAGATCATACACTTTTAAAAGTATGGTGTTTGTCTCCCCTGATGTCATCTAATGACTTCAGCAATTTATCTCCTATATATGGCACAATTTAAGTTTTCAAATATAGTAGTAGAATCAATGATTATTTGTGATAACAGAATTAATATACATATAGAACCATTGCACAATGTCTATAACCTAAGTCTTTAATGAATATTATTTCCCATCATGTTCATCTATGCCCTTTTTCTCAAACAATGTAGAATTTTTTCTTTGTCAAATTTAAAAGTTTTCAAGAGCAAGTGTGAAATAACAATTTCATATTCTGGCTAGACATGATGAATATCATATATGTTACCAATGTTGAAATTAAACAGAAAACCATAGTAAATTTATCCACCATGATGGTTTTTTTTTTTACATTAAAATATTCTTACAATTAACTTACTTACTATAAGATGAGTCAATGCAATCAGTGCTCTGGCACCTTTTTTTAAATTATTTGATTTTAGAGTATTTTTCTAAATGGTCCTTTATCAGATTGTCAGTAAAGGTATAGGTGTTTTCTCATAATTTTAATACTTCTGAAGTACCATTTTCCTTGTGAGTTATAAATATTGCAACCTATCAATAATCTGATCCCTTTTTATCTTTGAAGAAATTGTGACCCAGAAAAAAAAGTGGCCTGGTAAATAAGGGCAGATTTATGATGACTACAACTGAATAAGTTCGATATACATGTTAGGAGGTGTTCAGCCTTGTGTCACGAAAATGTCATACAAATTTGATGGGCTGCTTATATTATATAAAGGGAACAAGAAATAAAAGATTAGATTTCAAAATCTGCTCTGTGAAGCTCATATGCTAATCGATTTCATCCTTAGATGTTTCACTATTAGATGTTTTAGAAGCTTTGAAGTTGAAAATGCTTGCTACATGTAATCATCGTTCTATGTGAGACAACTGAAGGTTTAGTAACGTTCTAAATGCTGCTATAGCTGTTCCCTTTGCTGGCCTTCACTGATATATTTTCTTTCTGCTTTGAATGCCTTGATGATGCTGGGAGCTGTTTGCATATTTTGAAATAATTCTGTATAATCATTAATGTAAAATCTGTTGCTACTACACTGCTGGTTTAATAAATGCATGGTCCATTTGCTTTGCAGAAAGCTATTTCAAGTGCATGCTAAGCAAACTGCATTCTTTAATAAGCAATCTAGAAAAGTGTTGACTCTTACAACACTGGTGACCTAGCTCTTGATTTTTTATTTCAAGTTGTAGCTCTCTTTCTCTCTTAAATCTTACACTTATATTTTTTCATTCTTTAATAGGACACCAAGGCTGATGGTTTCATATACCTACCAGAATTCCGAATTGACTTAGCTCCACACTGCCGAAGAGAACAGTAAGTAATAATAGACTTTTAAATTCAGAGTTTAAATAGAGATATAACAGCAGTCCAGTTTATAATTTTTCAATTCTTCTTGTAGTTTATTTCCTGATTTTTCAAACAAGTAGTGTTCTGGGATTATTCTATATTTAGAATATATAATTAATAAATTCTATAGGATTAACATAATGATTAAAATATTTTTAAATTATACTACTCAAATTCATTATTTACCTTTAAATAAAAACTATTTTAAAATGTGAATATTTTATGTAATAATCATGATATTAATTTATTTATTTTTTAAAAGTCTTTCTAAGTTTTCCATAATTATAACTGTAAAAGTCAAAGCTGTCCAATCGGTATTATATAAATGTTTTAAATTAACATGTTAATGGGATGCCAGTATATAATTAGAAAATATTGATCAGATAACTAGAGATAACTAGATGGAATACTTTTTATTAAATAAGACAGATTCTTATTCTAGAATAGCTAGACTTACCAGACTTGAGAAGAGATGAACAGAATTCAAAGAGTCCAAGGAGGAGAAATAAATCCAATTAAAGAGATACTAAATATATATAAAAATAAGTTACACAGTGCAAAATCACTGTCATACATTAGTGAGAAGGGTAGTGATGTTATTATTAAATTTACTGTTTTTATATAAAATTCTTTTTTAATGATCTAAAAGCCTTCTTTTTTAATTTAATTTAATTTATTATTTTACATGTCGATCCCAGTTTCCTCTCCCTCCCTCCCTCCCTTCCACCCTCCATCACTTTTACCCTCTCTGCCCTCTCATATGCACCCTAACCACCCTCCCCTCCTATCCCCCCACCCCAATTCCATATGTAGGGCAATGCCATCCAGTTGGGGTAATGTAGATCTGACAGGTCATTTGAAGTAGGGACTAGGGCTTCTCTCCTGTCTCTACGTTAAGGCAGTTATCCCTCCATGGGGGATGTGTTCACAAGGTCCTTTTGTGCACCAGGGATACATCCTGGTTCCACTGTCTGCTCAGTCCTTCTGGCTGAGACCCATATTCAGGGGGCCCTGACTCAGTCCCATGCTGGATTCCCAGCTATCAGTCTGGGGTCCAGTTAGCTCCTCCTTGTTCAGGTCATCTGTCTCTGTGTGTTTTTGCAGCCTGGTCTTGTTCTCTCCAGCTGCATCTGGGTTCTAGTTTGACTCAGTGTTTATGTATGGGTGTTTGCTTCTGTTTGCAACAGGTAATAGATGAGGGCTCCATGGATAAGTTAGTTGTTAATCTCACTATGGGAAGGGCATTTATGGCATTATGGGAAGCTCAAATTGTTAGTGGCAGCAGTCTTGTAAGCCTCTAGACATGTCTTGGGGTTCAATTTTCTCTTCAAACCAATATTGGCTCCCACTTTTATGTTCTCCCTCTCTCTCTGCCCCTCTCTCTCTCTTTCATCTTCTATTCCTAACCAGGCTCAATCTTCCTGGTCGCTCATGTTTTCCTTTCCTCCCCCTCATTTTCTCCTACTTCTCTCTCCATTCGCTGCCCCCCCCACTTCCCCTGAGCTCTGGGGGACTTATCCCTTACCAGTTCTGTGAGGGACTTTATATGAATCTCTTAGAATACACCTTGTGTCCTAGTTCCTCTAGTGGTGTGAATTATAGGCTGGTGATCATTTGCTTTATGTCTAAAATCCATATATGAGTGAGTACATACTGTGTTCCTCTTTTTGTGACTGGGTTATCTCTTTCAGGATGGTTTCATCAAGTGCCATCCACTTGCCTGCGAATTTCAAAATACCATTATTTTTTTCTGCAGAGTAGTATTCCATTGTGTAGATGTGCCACATCTTCATTAACCATTCTTCAATTGAGGGGCATCTAGGTTGCTTCCAGGTTCTTGCTATTACAAATAGTGCTGCTATGAATATAGTTGAACAGATGTCTTTGTTGCATGGATGTGGATCATTTGGGTATATGCCTAAGAGGGGGATTGCTGGGTCCTATGGTAAACTAATTCCCATTTTCCTGAGGAACCAAAGTGGCTGTACGAGTTTGTACTCCCAGCAGCAGTGGAGGAGTGTTCCCCTTTCTCCACATCCTCTCCAGCATGAGTTGTCACTGGTGTTTCCAATTTTAGCCATTCTGGCAGGAGTAAGATGGTATCTCAAACTTGTTTTGATTTGCATTTCCCTGGTAGCTAAGGATGCTGAGCACTTTCTTAAGTGTCTTTCAGCCTTTTTGATTTCATCTATTGAGAAGTCTTTCTTCAGTTCTGTACTGTTTTTTAATTCTATACATATCTGCCTGTGTGTGCATGTGTGCACTCATGAGCACTAGGTCTTTTCCACAGTTGTCAAATATTCCTAATTTCCATCAAATCACCCCCACAAGAAAAAATGAGGGTGAATTCTTACCCATTTGTTTCCTCTAATTCTGATACATTCATTTTATTCTTTATATAATTTACATAGTTAAATACTAATAGAGCTAGCCATAAGCACAGTAAACTAATTGATATATATATATATATATATATATATATACTTCAAGTGCCAGAAATTAGAAATCTCCCATAGCCAGAAAGACCTAAATTCCTTGGGTAATTACATAAGGAAATTCAAAATTCAAAATCATTTGATAAAAGTTTAAAGTACTGTCAAATCAAAGATCGTATTAACTGAGAGCCACTTAAGGAAAAAAAATGTAGACTGATGATTCATAAGCCAAACTTCAAGAAAACATTTTTTTCTATAATGAATTCTTCTAAAGTAAAAGTCATATTATTTATGAAAATTAATTCCTATCAGTTTGTTGTTTTGTGCTGTTTTCTTAGACTTTCATTTTATTAATTCTTCTGTGACCTCTTGGGTGTGATTATGGAAGAGTACACCAACCTGATGGTTTAGGGAAAGTGAGGGAATCCCAAATGCACTATGGTCTATAGAATGGAAGGCCATATAATGCTACAAATTTAGTCATATATACTTACATAAATAAAAATTTTAAACCTATAACATTGCATAAAATCAGTTAATTTTAACATTTTCTAGTTAGTTTTCTCTACTGCTAAGTCTAGTTATGTGATCTAAGTTTTTCTTTAATCTGATATATATATATATATATATATAAAAATTCCCTTAAAGTGGACTATTATTGTAGTAGAAAGATGGCAATATTAATTCTATGCTATCAATATTATGCAACTCTACAGAAAGAACACTTTATGTGGGTTTTAATGTTGCAAATATATGGTACTTAATTGAAAATTACTATTTTAAAACAGATTAATTTGAATACACAATTCACATTATGAAATAATCCTTACTTCAGGAAAAAGTATAAGCTTTTTAAAAAGTATTCACATTATGAAATAATCCTTACTTCAGGAAAATGCCTGAGCTTTTTAAAAAGTAGTAAACTTATTTGTAGAAGAAAAATTTGTAAAGTAATACGTTTTTCAATGACAATATATGCCTTAGACATGAAGAAGAATAACACCCACCTTTGAAAATATATTGTGGGAAGACTCTTATGCTGTAAATTTATGAGTTATGTAAAGAGTAAGGGATATCCCATTTTTCACTGTTTATTTTGTATTATTATCTCATATATTACATCCTGACTGCAGGTTCCCTTCTGTTCCTTTCCTTTGGGCCTCCCACCTTCCTTCTCCCCCAGATCCATGTCCCCTCTGTATCCCCTCAGAAAGAGTAGGCATCCAAGGGACATCAGTCAAACACTGCATATGCCCATACCATCACATGAAGACTCTATGAGACAACTCAGCAGGAGGAAAAAGGTTCCATAAGTAGGAAAAAAACTCAGTGACCACTCCATTGTTACGAAACCCACAAGAACACCAAGACACTCAGCCATAACATATATGCAGGGGACCTAGGTCAGACTCCTATAGGCTGTGAATGTTATTTTATTCTTCCCCAATTCTCTTTTTTAGATAAGTTATACTCTCAACATAAGTACACTAAAATATCTAATTTTTCCTATCACAATTAGCTTTGATTTTCAGTAATGTCTTGAGTCCCTTATGATATATAAATGTTAAATGTCTGTTGGTGGGCTTAATTGTTGAAGTGTTTCAATTTGAAGAGATATTCAGTAGTTTCATACAATTTTATCAGATACAACAAATTCAAACTTACAAAAAAAGACAAAAAATATAATGCATTAAAACTTGGGGCAAAGAACACTGAAACATAAATCTTCTAACATTCTTATGCAGAAAATATTCACTAAATTTGATTTAAAAAAAAAAAAAACAAAACAAAACACGGTTGAATACCAAAAAGGATATTTACTTATGTGAGTCAATTGATGTTTTATTTTTAATAGCAGCGAATTTGAGCAGCTTCATACCAAGACTACACAAAATTGTGCATCTAATGTTTGATATAATTGCACAAGAAACACAAGGAAAAATTGTTACTTACTATAATAAAGGTCATCTGTTCTTGATACAGCAAAAGCACTTTATTTTACTACTTAAAATTTCCAAGACTAGGTAAATTATAGCAGACTATGATCATATGAGCTAAAGCCATCCTGCCCTGAATATGCCTGGTATAATCAGCATTTGTTCATGTGAAGAAACAATTCTTGAGAATGATGTTTGTGAATTTATATATACAAACACCAACTACAGAAGTATTGTTAGAATGATATTGTTTATATAAATCTTGTACTTTCATATTTTCTGGAAGTAGTCCACAGAAGTGCTATTCTTAAAGGTATTAGAAAGAGACTAGCTGGATAACTTGTGCATATTAACACCAGCAGTCTGACAGATGCATTCTTTGCCAAATTATTCAAAGTATTCTTTCTGGGGATTATTAACCACCTTCCCTCTACCTTGACTTGGGAAACTAAGAACTTGTAATAATATGTTCTATAAATCATCATTGATCATGAAGAACTGTTAGTAAGTCAACTTAAAGTAATTTAATATGAACTTATTTACGGAATCTTGAAACATGATTTTTGGTTATCCAAAAAGTTAAGAACAAAATTAACATATTAACAAAGTTCTACAGTAACCTCTTTTGAAAAGGCTGAGAGAGTGGTTACTTCAGTCTTTTCCCCTTTCATAAAAGAAACAAACCAAGATATTCTGACAGATTCACCATAGGAACATAAGCTAAAACTAAATACCTGAGTGAAAAATAGTAGCACTCATGTTGATGTCTGACTTAGGCCAGGGTGTCAATAGCAGGAAGTAGGCAAGTACGTAATACCTTTGTTGCTAGGTTACTAAGAGAGCTTCAGAAGTAAGGAAGGCAGTTATAACAGGAAATTATAGGATATGAACCATACATGGGTAAATGTTAGTCCAAAAATTGGTGTTTTTTGGTAACATTCTATTATTGAATTGGAATTTCGTATCTGAATTTAAATATATGCCATAAAACATCTCAACATATATAGACCCAACATGAATAATTGGTAACTTACAGACTGAACTAGTAAGAGAAAGTTAAAACTCCACCTCACGTTTTTATGCATTTAAAACAATATCAGAGAACATGCTTCATCTATAGTTTTTGCTACAATAAAATGTAGAAACCCACATTTTTAATTCAGTCTCAACTCTCCAGTACTCTGAAAAGGTGTTTGAAAAGTTAGTATGATGTTGCTATTGCTAGCCTTAAAATCTAGTTGAAAAAATCTGATCTTATGAAATCCCTGGTTCCTATCTTTTCAGTACACACTCTCTAGTTTGTGCTGGTAAACAATTGGCCTGTTATGTGATGTAGTACATCTCCAGGAGGGTGTTGCCCTGCTTCTACCAATGAGATGCCTGCGATGTTAAATGTAGTTGACCAGGTTTTTCATTTAGTAACTGGCAGCCTGCAGGACTTAAGGAAGCTTTAACATTTTTCTGAAGCCTGGAAGCAAGTGCTCTACTGCTCAGTTACAGCCCTACCTACAAATTTAAACTCTCAATTTATCACACTGCCGGAAAGTTTAAATTAACAAAACTTAAGGCTTCCCTTAAAAGAAGTAATTTGGTTTTAAGGATTTAAGTGTATTTTGTAAATCTATTGTTTTAAAAAACTTACAAAAGAGGTTTTCTTGATCAAGGTAAACAGCCCTGTTTTACAGATAAGTAAGATTAGATGTTTTCTACCAGTTCATGAGAATATTGCCTGGCACTGAATAACCATTTAACATTTATCTTGAATGGAAACGAATCAAACTATCTGTAAATGCATACTATTTGAAAGTAATATCCTAATAAATGAAGTAATATCAAGATGATTCTTCTTTGCAAGAGTAAGATGAAATTGCAGAATCAGGATGATTATAGAAAAAAATAAACATTTTCTGTGTGTGTTGAAGTGGATATCAGAAAACTGTCAACCTTGTAAAGTAACTTATAAACTACAAGAAAGCATTCAAAAGCTTATGTTAGTAGTGATATGGTCCCTTTATATTACATTTACTAGAAAATACTGTGATAGGAGGTATAAAAGAGTTTGGTTTTTACCAAAAGAAAGTAGATGTTATAAATATCATATAATATTACAGTGTGCTTTATATTACATCAATTACATTCAAATTGGTGCTCTCAGAGTTCTGTCTTATTTTTAAAATCTTCTTTTTTGTCTTTATTTGCATCATTTTCTACTAGAAACTATATATCATATGCAAGGAGACTTAAATCATGAAATACATGAATTAATGAATGAGAGGTATATAGAAGTTTTCTGCTAATTCTAATAACATTTAAAAAACATGAAAACAGCATGCAAGAAAAGTATACGAATTGGAATTATATTAGTATATAATTGCTAATGATATTAATGAATAAATTAAGCAAATTAACATCCTCAGAAAAATTCTGTTTTCTCTGTTAAGGCATAGTTTATATTATTGCCAAATTGACACAAGTCGTTAAGTACTGTCCTTCCTCCAGACATGTAGATAACATGTAGGTAGGTAAGTATGTAGATATATTATAGATAATAAATAAATGGGTGGATATAAATTACTTCAATTGCATAGACATATCATTTGCTTTTGAAAAGTCATAGATCAAGAGAAAGAAGTGATCCATATTTATGTTTCTACATATCAATAGAAAAATACTTAATGGAAATTAGAAAAACTATTTGAGATAAACTTAATTATTCTGAAGAAGTATAGAATCTGATTATTAATTCAGTTATTTTAAATCACCCTACTTTCCCAGTTTGCTTTAAAACAATAGTACTCCAAATCATTTTCCTTTATTCTTTTCTCCTATCATACATCCTGACCATACCCTTCCCTCCCTCCATCCCTAACAGTCTCCCTCTGTCTTTTAAAAATCAGAATATTCTCTGAGTGACTGATAAAAGAAAATCAGTGTCCTCCTTAAGTTTCTGTTATTAACATATTATCTTTGGCAAGTTATTTAATCCCTTAAGGCTTCGTTTTACTAAGATATATATTAGAGATTTTACTAGATTACTGTTTCAGTCCTTTTAGAGTGTTACAATATTAAATGTTCTAATAGTTGTTAGAAAGAAAAATGAATTATCTGCTTTTTGCCTTTTCCCCATAGTGCTTTCCAAGCCACCCATGCAAGAATCAAGGATTTCTACTTTGCTGGTACATGCTTGGATGAGATGAATTAGTAAGTAGTTTGTGTTCATTTATTCACTTAATGTATATAGAAGAACAACTTTGTTACAGGTATGTCCTTCAATAATAGAAAATAATGGTATTTAAAAAATTATTTCATCTTCATCCTAATTTGATTTAGTGTATTAGAATGCCAGGGTGTCAGAATGTGAATATAAATGGTAATGTGAGACAGAATAAGACTTATAGAGAAGGCATGTTTATACTTTGAAGTGTTTATAAACATTCAAGTAAATAACTTTATTTCAAGAGGCAAAGAAAGCAGGTCAATACTCATCATAAATAAGTAAAATCCTGTCAAGAAAAAATTGAAAAAGGAGAGTAAAGAGCTTACAAAGAAATAGGTAAAATTACTTACTTGACCATAATAGTGTGAGTGGAATTGAAAACTAGTAGATATATTCAAATACCTTTAGGAGGTAAAAGCAACACCGTTTTTTTATGGGAATTGTAAGTATAGAAAGGGTAAAGGATTGTCAACTACTAGGTTTATAGCCTATAAAACAAGATGAATTTCATCATAATTTTCTTTTTTATATATGTTTTATTTAAATTTGAAACAAGCTTGTTTTACATGTCAGTCCCAATTCCCGTACCCTTTAATCCTCCCCTATTCCCTACACCAACCACCATCCCTCCTGCTTTCTGTTTCCCAGGGAGGGTGAGGCCTTCTATGGGGAGTCTTCAAAGTCTGTCATATCATTTGGAGCAGCACCCTGGCCCTCCTCCATGTGTCTAGGCTGAGGGAGTACCCCTCTATGTGGAATGGGCTCCCAAAGTCCATTCCTATATTAGGGATAAATACTGATCCACTACCAGAAGCCACATAGACTGCTGAGTCCTCCCAACTAACACCACATTCAGGGAATCTGGGACAGTCCTATGCTGGTTTCCCAGCTATCATACTGGAGTCCATGAGCTCCCCCTTGTTCAGGTCAGCTATTTCTGTGGCTTTCTCTGGCCTGGTCTTGACCCCTTTGCTTATCACTCCTTCCTCTCTGTAACTGAATTCCAGGAGTTCAGCTCAGAGTTTAGCTGTGGGTGTCTGCTTCCGCATCCATCAGCTACTAGATGTAGGCTCTAGGATGGCATATAAGGTGCTCATCAATCTCATTATCAGGGAAGGACATCTAAAGTAGCTTCTCCACTATTGCTTAAATTGTTAGTTGGGGTCATCCTTGTAGTTCTCTGGATATTTCCCTAGTGACAGATTTCTTTTAAAATCTATAATGGCTCCCTATATTGTGGTATCTGTTTTCTTGCTCACGTTTATTCAAAATGCGGGATAATGGAAAACTATCATGTTTATGAGGCAAGTATCTGAGTTTTGTCTGGGAGTACATAGAATTCAGGGTTTCTTCATGTATCTTGTGGTGTTTAAAGTAGACAGTTCCTTTGAGTGGAGCTCAGAGTAAAAGAGTCAACTGAAGATATAACTTATAAGTCATCTGCACCGATATGGTATTTGAAATAATAGGCATAGATGAGAACAATCTGAAGAGTGGTTCTCAAAGTCAAAATGAACTGTGTATCTTACTGAATGTATAATTCTGAGGCCCATATCTGATTCATACAATCACTCATTTAACAAATTTCTGGGTGATGCTGAGAATTTATGATTCCAGGGCTTTGAAAAACACTTACTTAAAAGGGGCCATAAGTGAGAAAGGAACCTTGAACAATTATTTAATTGCTGATTATAACCTTCAAAACAAGCATAAGTGCAATGACTCTAAATACAATTATTTTATATACACTTCAGATTCTGTACCAAAGACATTATCATGTCCTTAAGAAAAAAATGTTTTGCTTTATAACTTGGGGCTTTATATTACTACAATTCATTTATATTCATGATGTTTATCCCAGAAGTTTTGTAAAAATATCTGTAGTTATAAGCATAAGTGCTTATTTCCTGTATCATAAACTTACCTAAATATGCCTAATTTAAGGACTAATTGATTTTGCTCAGAGCTGTCTAATATCTACCTTACTATCTTTTCTCAATGTAAAATTAAAAGCCAAAATAACTTTGGATACCTTATAAAATATATTCATTCAGGATTCATCAATAATCACAGTATTCTTGCTGTCATTTATGACTACAGAGTAAATAAGATATTCTGTGTACTATTGTTTTGTGCTGATGAAAATCTTTGGAAAATGGTTGACACTAATTGTCTTTATTAAAGTGAAAATACTACTGCATCTTTGAGGCTGACATTGTTTTGTCAAATGAACAAATATGTCTTATTAGATTAGTTTTACATTAATTTGCTAGAATTTTGAAAGAATTCACATTACAATTGAATAATCATTTCTTATATTCATAATTCTACTGTCCATAAATTGACTATAGTTCTGTGCCACAAATTAGATTAAAGTTTATTATTCTTTCAAGTATATCAATTTTTAATCTTTATATTTATAAAATACCATGTCTATAGAAGTAGATAGATGAAGAATTTTATTATAACAAAAATATTCCATTTGAATTAAATGTGTTCTGCCATACATTAATTTCAACTTAAGAAAGCATTTTTTAAAATTTCAGTCTACATCCTACAAATTTTTAAGTGAGTTGACTAACATTAACAATGAACTTCTCTCTATAGTAGGCTCATATATTCATGTTTAATTAAAATTAAATTCAATTACCCTTAATTTCAAAGAGAATATTACTTACATTTGTATTCAGCATGCCAGAAGGAAGGGTTATTCTTCCTTTAGTGAGTTTATTGTATACCATTCTCATTTTTAATTATGTTGAATTTAATAATAGTACATTGCTACTGTCTATAATTTATGCCTAAAAGACCTAAGCACAACACTCTTATTGTCTGGAAGAAAAATATAACCTCCTTCTTGACTGCACTTAAATAATAACTTGTTATAAGAAGAAAATAAAAATTTTGTTAATTTTCAGAGAGGCTATGTGATTTTTCCCGGGGGTGGCGGGGGAGCATTCCAATTAGTATACCTAGAAGCCTCATGGAAAGGCACCAAAAAATATACTGAAACAATAAGTGTATTTTATGCTGTCAAGGCAGAAAGTAAAAGAACATTGGCATTTGAGAGAAAATAGGGAGTAAAGGTGGTGTTTAAGTATAATCATGCCTGTTTCCCTCTTGCCTTCATGAAGAAGATGTGGTGCTCCAAAAAGAGTTAAATGCATTAGATGTTTGTTAAATGACACACAAAAGAGTTAAAATGTGTCATTAAATACAAAGTGACTAATAGAAACAAGCCTGAGACATTTGGCTGCACTAAAATCATCAAAACAATTAAACTGTTTCAAAGCAAAAGTGTTTTAACTCTGACAATTAACATGTGATTCATTCTCCTTATCTTTTTATGTTGAAGAGCAGTCCAAGTAAATGTATTCCATGGCATTCTTTCCATAGCAATTACTTTTTCTAGTCAAAGAAATGCTAAAAGTACTCTGTGATAAATCTTTGTGTTAAATTTAAAATATTTAAATTACTATGTCATAATGTGCAACAAGAATCCAGAAATCTTCATAACTTTTTTTCAGGAATCTTATGTAATATAAATATTAACAAGTAAGAAAGAAGTAGCTATAGTCAGTCTATTATTATTTTAATTATCATTATCTTATTCTCCCCCCAAAATAATCATAGATTATAATACTACTTAAGTGAAAGAAAAGAAGCATAAGATTGTTTCAATTAAGATAAATAATTGTCTACATTGAAATATAATTTATTTCAAGCATACACATGGAAAGTGAAAATTAAAACATTGAAAGCCATAAATGGCTCTATGACCCTTAATCTATGTTATCTAATATGCTATCTGAAGCCTAGCAGGGTAGGGCCCGGGAAAGTACTTGAATGAGAAATATTAAAAAAACAGTGATTTATGTTACAAGTTTTCTTTTCCTTTTTCTTAGTGAAAAGTGACATACTTTGAAAACAGAAATAACTATTTAGCAAAAATACACTTAGTTTAAGAGATCACAACTAAAATGTTACCTAAATCAATATAGTTTCTCTGATCTAAGTTATGATATAACATCTAACATGAAAAAGCTTCTAAGGTAAATTTGATTTTACATTAATATGCCATCATAATTTGGGCAATAGTAGACACATGGACAGAAAGAGTAATTTTATCTGCCAATTAACTTCTAATTTTTATACATGACTTAAATTACAAAAAAATTTAATTTTATTTATATTTATTCTTGGTGTCTTTCACATCATGCCTCGCTATGCCATCCATTTCCAAATCCTTTTGTGTCTGCACTCTTCCTTGCAAATATCCCCCTAAGTAAAATAAAGTCAAATATAAGAAAAAATAAAAGAAAAAAATCAGTCTTGTCATGGAAGCTGTAGTGAGTCATACAGAAAGTAAACCCTTTTAACCATAATATCTTTATTTGTATGAGTTAATTCCAAGTCATTGTTCTGGTTTGAGGCCTCCGGTTTCTGCTGGTCGGGCCCTGGCAGGAACTCTTCTTGGTTATCCTGTTGTGGCACTGAGTTGTAGAGATTATGCAGCTTTTTAGTCTGTAAGACCTGTCTCTTCAGTGCTTCCTCAAATCACAGATGGGGTGGACGTTGGGGTAGGCCAACTCATAATCCTGGTTCTGGGCCTGGGCAGCTGCAGGGTAGTTGCAAGGTTGGTCAGCCTGCCTGCTCTCCCTTGTCCTAACCACCAGGGTAAGCTCTCCTGCATTGTCCTGGCTAGTTCACACCTTTCAGCTATGAGCAAGGGGCAGGGCAAGTCCTCCCAGTCTATTTTCCCACACCTACACCTTCAAGGCCAACTCTACTGTCTTGCCTGGGTTTGGTGTAGAGGCCACTCTCCCAAGTGCTGCAACTGACTAAGGACAGTGACAGTTCTTCAGATCTTATGACCTCAGGGGCAGCTCTCCCACCTGCTTGATGTGGGGGTGCTTCTCCCTCATGCCCTTGCAACTACATGACAGATGAGTAATAAGGATATCTCTCCTATACTCACTACTTA